TAATTTTAAAGGAGAATACTAAATGCTGCTGGTTAGGTACAGGAAGGCAACAGAAGGTTTACTTAAGATGTTTGATGTCCCTTGAGGAATGAAGGTTCCTCATTAGAGTGTCCTACAGTTTGTGGGGAAGATTTCAGTAAGGGAAAAACCCCATTTCCTTTTACTACCCTACCATGTTCACTACACAAATTACTAATACTTCCCATAACTGTCCAGATTTGGTTTTTCTGTGACATTAATTGCTGTTTACTAGCATACTTGTACAGTGGAGTTCTGATTTACCATCTTCTCTGTGGGCAAATAAATGTGTAAGTTCTCCCGGGTCTGTCCACTAATGCATTAGCCAACAATTTCTCAGCTTGCAAAGTTCACAGATTAGACCTCAATATAAGACATGTTTTGAGATGTCCTCTTAAAATAAAAAAGCCAAAAATTGGTCAAAAGCAAGCAAACAAACAATCAAAGATAAAAACAAACAAAAACATAACCCTTTGGTATGATCCTGAATTTAAGGCGACTCAAAATCAATGCCCCTCCCTTCCTCCAGTGTCAACCCCTAAAATCTGCCCTGCATACATCAGCCAGAATAATCACTATAATACACAAACTTGGTTGTAATTTAATCAGTGCTTCCCCATTCACTTTTTGCATAAAATGATATAATATGTAACACCTTAATTATGACTCCTTCCAGTAACGATTTACTAGTGGTTCCCATAGGACCATATAGGAATATGTCCCTTTGCTTACACCCTGCCTGGCATGCCCATTCACCCCTCTTTCCCTGGCTGTTCTACTCTCCCTTAAGACCCAACTGAAGTACCTCTTCTAGAGTTGGAATGTGTGCTCTTCCTCTGTTCCCATAACTCCCTGTATATAACTCTATTGTTATACTTACCACAATGTAGTAGGTTGACTCATATGCAACTGCCAATAGTCAATCCTTTATTACCAAACAAATAACAATTTTATGTGGTTCTATCTAAATATTATACATATTTTATGTTTCATCCTACTATACTGAGAGCCCCTTGGGGTCAGGATTCTGTCCCTGATATGGATTGTGTCCCTCAAGTTTTATGTATTAGTAGCTTCATCCCTACTGTGACTGTTAAGAGGGTGGGAAATCCTATTATGGTAATTGAAAGGTGGGTCCCTGAAGAGGTGATCAGATTGTGGGACCATGCCATAATGAATGGATTAATAATGGTGGTCAGGGGTGTGGTTCTGAGGGCTTTAAAAGGAGCACATGCGAGAGTCTCTCTCTCTCTCTCTGCTCCACCATTTTTGGCCATGTGAGACCTCTCGGTCAGTGTCACCCCCACAAAGTTCTTCACCAGATGTGTTCCCTGCATTTTGGACTTCCCAGCCTCTGAAACTGTAAGCAATAAATTTTGTTTTCTTTACAAGTTACCCAGTTCCAGGTATTTTGTTATAAGCAACAGACATGGACTAATACAGAAAATTGGTACAAGAGAAGTGGGGTGTTGCTTATAACAAATACTTGAAAATGTGGAAGCAGCTTTGGAACTGGGTGTTGAGGAAAGGCTGGAAGAATTTGAAGGAGCAGGCTAGAAAAAGCCTAGCTCCTCTTGGGAGTTTAGAAGACAAGAAAACCAGGGAAAGTTTGGAACTTCTTAGAGACTGGTTAAATGGTGGTGACCAGAATGTTAATAGAAATATGGACTATAAAGCCCATCTTAAGGAGATCTCAGATGTAAATGAAAAGGGACTTATTGGAAACTGGGGCAAAGATCACCCTTGTTATGAACTGGCAAAGAACATGGCTACACTCTATTCATGCCCAAAAGTTTTATCAAATATGAAATTTAAAGGTGCTGACCCAGAGTATTTGGTGGAAAAAATTTCTTTTTTCTTTTTTTTGTCTTTTTTGTGACCGGCCGCACCACCGTGCTCAGCCAGTGAGCACACCAGCCATCCCTATATAGGATCCGAACCCACAGCAGGAGCGCTGCTGCGCTCCCAGCGCTGCACTCTCCTGAGTGTGCCATGGGGTCGGCCCAGGTGGAAAAAATTTCTAAGCAGCAAAATATTCAGGAAGCTCTATGGCTACTTGCAACAATCTATGGTGAGTTATGGCAGAAAAGGCATGATATAAAGCCAGAATGTATAGTTAAAAGGGAAGTAGAGGGTAAATATTTGGAAGATTTGCAACCTTGTCATGTGGTAGAAAGGCAGAGAGTATTTTCAGGAGAAAAATGCAGTGGTGCTAAGGTTAGTACAAAAGAAAGGGATTATCAAGAGAAGGGGGGAAAGTCCCTGAAGGCATTACAGAAGACTGTGGGACCAGCCTTTCCATTACAGGCTCAGAGGCCTAGGGAGACAGAATTGTCTTGGGAAACAGGCCTGAGGTGCCTTCCACAGGCTCGCTGCCCTTGGGCCACATTGGAAAGCTGCTCCCCACACCAGCATCCAAGCTGTTTTGGCTGCTCCAGCCATGGCTAAATTGGCCCAGGTGTGGCTGGACCCACAGCATTGGAAAATACAAGCGGAAAACCTTGGGGTTTCCACATGGTGTTAGGTCTGCAGGCTGGCAGAATACCAGAGCTATGAAGGCTTGGGAACCTACAACCCAATTTCCAAGGATGTATGGAAAAGCCTGGGGTCCAGGAAGANCCCAGGTGTGGCTGGACCCACAGCATTGGAAAATACAAGCGGAAAACCTTGGGGTTTCCACATGGTGTTAGGTCTGCAGGCTGGCAGAATACCAGAGCTATGAAGGCTTGGGAACCTACAACCCAATTTCCAAGGATGTATGGAAAAGCCTGGGGTCCAGGAAGAGATCTGTCACAGGAGTGGAGTCATTGCATGAAGTCTTCCCTAGAGCAATGCTGAGCAGGAATGTGGGTCAGAG